TATATTATGGGATATTTATTGTATGTATTTGCGTGTACATGTAAATGAATACAATAAAAACATAGAATTAATATTGGCAGCAGGAATGATTTTACTTAATTTTTTTATATTCCATAGAAAAAAACAGAATAGAAAAATGAAAACAAATGTATACAACAAAAACTATTATAAATTGTTAGTAAAGAAATTAAGTAGATTTGTGAGTTTAAGGGAATTTTTTTTTCTGTAATGATGACAATGATGATGATAATGGTATAAATGATGAAAATACAGATAACGAAGGGTCAGACTAAAAGCACATATTTATATATGTATGTATGTATATTTAAATATTACTACATAAAAATAATAAAAAAATAAAAACAAAAAAATATTTATGAGATTTCACTCTTCTGATATAAGTAAGTTTTGGGCGTTGTCTGCTACATTATAAAAAAATAAAGAAAAACTAAAAAAAAATACAAAACAATTTCTTCCATAATAAAAAAAAATAAACAACTACTAACCCCCCAAAAGCATTTTACTCCCTGCTGGTGTATCAAAGCTGAAAAATATTTTCAACATTTTCATTCTCATTCTTTTTTATTCCTTTGATTTAAAAGCTATTCAAATAAGCAGAAAAGTAAAACAAAATAATGGTGTATAAATAAAAAAAAAAAAAACAAAATAAATTGTGTCCTTTGGAATTTAGCTCAAAGGAACTTTGAGGATAAAAACAAATAAACAACAAAAGCAAAACAATCATATTAATTGGATTAATAGATTTCAAAATTTTCATTACTTTTCCGTTTTCTCTAAACTAACTGAAAGTGTTTTTTTTTTTGTTTAAATTTTGCATTTTAGTTTAGGTTCTGTGTTTTTATGAATCAAGAATATAAGGCATCATGAAACTCATTAGTCATTCCTATTGTGTTCGATTAATAAATTAATTGAAATATTGAAACACTTTGAAAAAATAAAATTTCGAAAATTTAATCTTATTTTCATCAACATTTTTTAAGTTTTAAGAGAAAAATTTAAAAATTTTAAAATTATCACTCAAATTTTTTTATACCGTACCAATTAGTTTAAGTCAGGAAAGCTGTAAAAGCAATTTTAAGCAAAAATTAAAATTCAATTTCAGTTTTGATTATAAAAAATTATTCTTCGGGAAACGTCCATATAAAGTAAAATTTAAAAATAAATGTTTTTAAGGCTACAGATTCCAGGTTTCGAAATATATTTTAGAAGAACTTGGAAGAAGGAGAAACGATATATTCACACACTTTGTATTTATGGATTTTGTATGAAAGCAAAAATATTTTGTTAGCATTGTCTTTAATAATTTTTGCGAGTTATAAACCTTAACTCGTAACTCAAGTTCTCTTTTTAATCATCTAATTTTAATTTAATGCGCATATTTTAGCGCTGTTTAAAAAAACCTAAATGTTTTTAAAAATTTGAATTAATTTTTTTTTAAAAACACCTTAAAATTAATTTTATACAAGTATAGGTCTATTATGACTATATTTTTATTAAAATAACCCTATAAAATTCATTCAAAGGATAATAGTTTTATACTTCATGCGGATAACACAGTTTTTATCATTAAAATGTTAAGTGGGTCACAGCAATAAAACAAAGCAATATTCCTACCTATATATCCAAGAAAGAAAATGGAATAAGAATTTGTTTTATTATTTGTCAAGTCAAGTAAACGTTGATTAATCCTAAATGTATGCAGAAAAAAAATCGAATAAAACAACTACATTGTTTTCACACACTTGAAGCCTGCTGCTTCTGTTTTTTTTTTTATATATAGCAAACACATTAATATTTTCCATTTTATTTTTAGCTAAACAAAAAATTTAAATAAATCCTTGAATTGAATTTCTTTAATCCTTAAGCTCCTGACGTCCTATATAATATTTAATTTAATGATTTCAGTTTATTATAAAATGAAGTTAAACGAACTTAGTCATCGACCTAAATTTAACTTTATAGTTTGTATATACTCACTTATAGCATACACTCTTATATACAATAATAATAAATATGTATTCACATACAAATAAAAGTTTAACTGCTATTATGAAAAACAAAAACAAAACAAAAAAGAAACAAGAAAAAAAAATCTAATTCAAATCTCATTTTTTATAAACTATCCGAGTATAATAAAAAAAACAAAAAAAAAAAAATAGAACTAAAAAACGCAAAAAATTATACAAGAATTCAAAGTTTTTGGCCAAAAGAAAATACGTAAGGTTAAAACCGCACCGCGTCAGTCTCACGCAAAACTCATATAAACAAATTTTTATATGAGGAATTTTTGTTTTACTTCTCTTCTTGTTATTTTATTCCTTTCACTTATAAAAAGTCATTTATTACATTTTTATTATAATTTGTATGGGAAATTCATATTTCAAGGTAGTAATTAAATGGATTTGGACATGAAAACTATATGAAAGCAGGGAGCTCTTCTATATATATCGTTCGTTGTGTTGTTGTTATTGTAAAATTTCAGTTGTTGGTTATCATTGTAATAAAATCTTAGCTAATTTACTAATGGAAAATCATATATCCTTTTTATATAAATGGTCGAATAGTTTAGGGTTGGTCAACTTGGATTTGCTTTTTTCAAGTTTTCTTTTATTTTTATTATTTTTATATTGCTTTTTAAGGAAAATGTCATTTATTTTCTTTCCTCTTCTTCCTCTTCTTCTTCTACTTCTTCTTTAATACTTTCACTAACTTTTGCAGCGTAATTTTTTTTTACACACCATTTTTTTTAAATTTCCGTTTTTTGTATTCTTCTCCGGTTTATGAAGAAACTTTTTTATTTTGTACATTTTTACACTTTTAATGTAATTTTTTCTTTAAATTAATGTGTAAAAATATTAAATGTCTACATAATTTTACAAAAATCTTTTGCAATTGCTTTTGTTTAGGAAATTTTTAATTTTGCAACTATTTTGAAAATGTATATGTATATATATATATATTCGTACTTTTTTCTTGTATGCGATAAAGGAAGCAAATGACAAATTCCTTTTATTTTTATTTTGAAAACGTAACAAAAAATACGAATTCAAAAATGAATTATGAAAGGAATTGAAAAGAAATCTCATTATGATTATTGTATCCCTCCTTTTTGACTAGAATTTTTATTTAAGAAAATATTCCTTGAATTGGAAAATGCTTAAAAAATAATGTTAGTTTATTTAAAAGAAAAAGCTGTGAAATAATCATTAAAAATGTGATGAAATTAGATCAGGTATTAGAAAATTTTTATAGTATTTTAGATAGAAAAATAAAGCCATAAAAAATTGAAATCAAAGTTTTATTACAATTAAAATGAGGTTGTTGAGTTCATAAAAACTTAGAAAAGTGTGGGGAAATCCAAGTTCTATTATTTCATTAAAAATATTTTATATTTATAGTATTTTAATAATGTTCTTCAAATACGAAAAAGTATAAATTTAAACAATTTTGTATAAGAAAAAACTTTGATCCTTAATAAAATATTATCAGTATAGATCTATGATCCGCTTAATTCCAGTCTTATTTTCATTTTCATACTTAATTATAATTTATACGCAGAATGAGCGACAAGTAAAAGTAACAATTTTTGTATATTAAAATGGACCTATATATAGTATAAAACAAAACAAAAGGAGAAAATTATAAAGAGTCCTTTTTAAGTCCCGATATTTAAATACACATAAAATGCATTTATAATCAATATAATAAGGATATTTATGTATAAAATATCCTTTGGGTTTTGCTATTTTGAATTTATTCTTTTTACCAATAATATATTTATATACATAATATACATACTTATATACACAAATCTTTTTTTATAGTCCTTGCTGAAAATATTGTATAGAAGAGCAGCTAAAGTTAAAAGAAAACAATCCAAAGAGGAAATTTACGCCTTAAAAATAACATTCACTTAAAGTTCATGAAGGAACAAAAAAAAAATAAAGAATAAAGTAAAAAATTTTTCGAATAGAGTTTTTTCGTGTTCCACTTCAAAAAAAATCTATTGTTTTGCCTTAAGTTTTCGGCAAACCGAAAAAAGAAATTAAATATATAAAATATATTGAGGATTGGGTGATTTCTGATCGCATGAAGTAATATAAGCTATATGTAAATATTTTAGATGACAGAACAAAAAAATTTCTTAAACTTTTTAAAATAAAATAAAAAAACACAAAAGTAAATTGAATTTGTCAAAATATCAGGATAATTATAATAAACCTCTGCCAGGCTAGTTAATTATTTCTTAATATCACTGTACAAACGCATTTGAGTTTAAAGTTTTCAGGGACTTGGAACAATTGAAAGTAAAGTTTTTTCAAACATACTTAAAATTTCCATAATATGTTTCTCAAATTATAACTGCTGAATAAACATCTTATAAGCCATTAATTGAAAGAAGAAGATGAGATAAAATTCAATAGTTTCGCACGAACTTTTCTTCCATGAAATCGTCATATGCATTTGTTGTAAATTACATATATATTTTTTATAGTACTTCCTATTTCGAGGAAAATTTCATCATACTTTAACACCCTATCCGCTATATATAAAATTTTATTATGTACCTAATACCTATGTATCTTTTTTAATTTTAAGCGAAAAGTTATTCGATAATAATTCTTGTAATATTGAATCAATTCGATTAACGAGTGCTTGTGTTTGCGAGTAGGTATATGTGGTGGGTGAAGAATAATTCCTTTCAATGCTTTTTTCAAAATATTTTATGATATAAAATGAACATTTAAAGAAGTGAAGCGAATAGTGGACGATAATGATTGATCCTTCGTTTTTTATTTCTTTTTTTTTATAACTTTCTTAAAAGAATGCTTAAATAAATAATGATTTTATCATCATAAATATTTATATAAATCTGTATACAAACAAACACACTGTAATACGTTTGTATATATATACAATGTGGACATTTTTTTGTATTCTTATTTATATAGGAAATTAACAAAACCTTAAATGTAATAATGGATGAAAAAAATTTGGGACACGAATTACGTCATTCCTTGCTTGGTATATTAGCTCAAAATGTAATTTAGTATATCGACGGAGGTTAATATAACAGAAATGGCGTTTGAAATTTATCGAATTATAAGATGATAAAAAGGAAAATTTTACTTTAAATTTCATACTTATCAAATTTTATGTTTTAGATTTAATTTTTATATGTACATATATAAATATGTATGTGTGTTTGAGTATAGAAATTTATTTAGTTTGAAAATTTATCATTTGATTTCTTCACAACTTTAAATGAGCACATTATATAAATTACGAAAAAAATTTAGTAAGACTCGAAAGGGTGTCGTTTGGTTCTTTTGGCATTTCTCCAATCATCATAGATGTTATAATTTGAATTGGGAAATTTAAAAACAAAATTTATCTTTATCACATTTTCGAACTGTTGTATGTAATTTCAATATTTTAATAATTATGATAAGAGTTTTCTAAGAATCTAAGTGTAAAATATATACAATATTAGTTTTAGAGCTAGTCAAAGTACTATATATATTTGTGAGTTAGTAATTATTATAATAATTGTATATTAATTATTATAAATTAAAAGTATTTATCATTGGTTTGAAAAAGAAATATTTTAATCGGTTTTCTCCAGTTTCCAAAAACCTTCTACATAAGCTATCGAAAACAATAGTAATTCAAGCTATTTATTCAAGCTATTTTTAAAGCCTTTTATTTTGTAGAGTTAGAAAGTCGTTACTATTGGAACCAAATAGAATTAGAATAAATTAGTTTAAGATTATATTTTATTTAAACTTGTAAACTTTTATTTAAATTAGAGTATTTTAGACATTTGAACAATTTATATGGATGACGTGTCCTTGAAAAAGAAATTACATAAATGTGCTGGAATAAAAACTGTACTCTTTCACTCTGCTCCAGTTTTTAAACTTAATTTTAAAACATAATGTTACATACAAAATAGTTGTAAAGCTGTAATATTCCTAAAAAACTTCTGCTCTACTTTTATAAGAGAATGTTTATTAAAAAAATTATTCTACAAAAAATCGTTGTTTCTAAAATCCTTATAAAATTCAGAATAAAGTGAAAACAAGTTGAAAAATCTTGTTTGCGCAATATTAAAAAAAAACATATATTTTTATATATATAAGTGCAATACTTAAACTGAATACATTGAACATACATACGTACAATACTTAAAGTGAATACCCTTATGTTCTGAGGAATTCTAATATTCAAATATCATATTTTAACTTTAATGAAAAAACAATTTCCTTTTAGCTGCCTACTTGATTCTTTGCTTTTCGTTTTATTTTGTTTTCTTGTTTCTTTTTTTAACAACAACCCTATCCTTTTTCAGAAAATAGGTTTTAAAATGGGATTTTGTCAGATTTAAATTTAAATTGTGCAACACCAAAAATATTTGGATATGAACACTAAGAAAAATTTAAAGAAAATTTTGTTTATTGGAATAATTTTCTACATCAACTTAGTAAGTTGAAGATCTTACAAATTAAAGTCACAGGGTTCTGGTTTGTATTATAAGGTTTGTACCATCATTGTTACACAAGTCAATGGTGTGTCATTTTTTGTTAAAATTCTTGATTTCCAATAATGTTTTTAGCCGCCTATTAAATTTATCCTGCTGATCTCTAACTTTTAAAGTAAAAACCTAAAATTGCACAGATATACACTGTAAGATGTGTAGTTAAAATTTAAAACTAGAAAATTCCTACATTTATCAAAACCAAGAAGTCTAGAGTTTAAATCAGAAGAAGTTTAAAAATTAGTTTGTAAGAATTTTTTAAATTAAAGAACTTTATGTTAAAAATTTTACTGTTTAAAATATGCAGTTTATTTTTTGAAACTTTAAATTTTAATGTCCCATTCTCTACCCTTTTAAAAGTTATGAAAACATCATTTTTGTACAATTCATTGTTTCAGAATAATGAAAAATTTTATTATTGCTGCATTAAAGGCAGTTGTTAAAAATAACCATTGTGTTGAATCAAATTTTTTGCAAATTTCGGTATTAAGGTTTTGATTTTACCAAACCAAAGCTAAACTTAAGTTTTTACTATATTCTAAAACTAGTTTAGTTTATGCAAAATAAAATTGCAAAGAATAAAAAGCAAACTTTGTGGACTTTCAGTATTATAGATTCTATTGAAAATCACTTAACCGGCTAAAACAGTTTGTCATATAGATTAAATAACAAAGAAAACAAAATTCTTTTTTTTTTTTACATTCGAATTCTTCTGAAATTAGAATTCATGTTCTTGATTTGTATGAAATTAATTCAAGGCACCCATCCCACCCCGTATGATAGCCCATTCGTATGTGAAATTTGCTTATATATTCGTATTAAAATGAAAATGAAATGTTCAATCTTATTTCTAATAAGAAGACTTCATTTTTGATCCTGGGGTTTTTGAAAAATTATTCCAAAAATAAGAAAATCATGTATTTAAGAAGAACAAATGAAAAGACTAAAATGTTTAACCACTGTAAAATTGCATCTTCATTTTCATTTCTCTTTTTTTCATTCAATGTTAATTTTTTTTTTTTGTATAAATATCTATTTCCCTTTGTCTCTTATCCTAACTTTCCATTTATTGTCTTGATATATTTTTCATGTAGATGAGATAAAATATTGGATGGAACGTAGGCAAACAACAAAAAAAATATACATAATCATCGTTTAAATTCTTTTTATGTTTTTTACTTTTGCCCTTAGTTGTTCTGTTTTTAAAGTATTTTTTGGTTCAATCTAAAATACTTTTTCGTTTCTTTAATCATCCCTATACAGTAAAATAATTTTACAGTAGGGTGAATGTAAATGCTTTGCTGGAAAAGTGCATGTTATTCTATATTTCTATAAAATTTTTTGGTAGTAAGTCTAATTGCAAAAATCTGTAATCTTGTGATTTCATGTCGCATATTATGCAGTAAGAAATGTAAATCATGTCTAAAAAATTCCGTGCCGAGATTGTCACGTGCATATATTTTAGAATAAGTGCCATGCCAATGTGTAGGATATTCTATGATTTCTTTTTTTTTGAGCTGCAAACAAAAAAGACTTTTTATAATGTAACAAACGCCTAATGATCGGACCATAATGAAATTTATTGAAAATTGTTTATATTAAAAAATTTAAAAAATTCACTTACAAAATTTTCCAATTGAACAAATAATATTTATGATTAATTCATAAGTGTTTAATGAAATATTGAAAATAATTTTAAAAATTTTTGTGAATGATTTGGTGAATATTTTTTAAGAAATTTAATGCACTCTTGGGTGCTTGCTTCCTGTATTAAATATATTTGTTCTATTGTGTTGCACATATTACTTTTATAAGAACATTTTTTTCGGTTAAAAATGCTCGTTTGTTCTATTTTTTTTATATTTTCAAATAAACTATCGTTAATATAAGTTATATTACACTTATTGTTAAAGAATAATACGAGTAACATAGAAACTTAATATGAGGATTCTGAAATACAATAAAACTTGAAATCATTGTTATATTTTATGTATAAATAAAAGAAAAAAATTAAAATAAATAGAGAAAAATAGGAGAATTCAAAAAATTTAATCTTGTTTTTTTTTTTCTTCAATTTTTTTTTTTTGCAAACAATACCTAAAAGTACCAACTAAATTATGAACCCATATGTATGAACATAACAAATTTTTATTCTGACAGTAATATTTCCGTAAACAAGCTGTAAATAATAATGATAATATAAAATTATTTTCTCTCTTGGGGAAATGTACTTGACCCCTCAATGTATATGTTCAGTTCATATCATATTGTCGGCTTCTATGTACAATACAAGTACCTATACATATATTTACATTTGAAATGAAATTGAAAATATATGTAAGATCAGAATCTATTCGATATGACTATACAATTTTTATGATAATATATATAAAGGTGAATGTATGTGCATGAAAATTTTTACATTTCAATATTGTATATATGTATTTGCATTTAATATAAAGAAATATGTAAGTGTGTATATACAAAGTAAATGAAATGTTGTCGAGATTTTACGAAAGATTGAATGCATCATAAAAAGGATTTTATAGGGATTTTTATATCGTTTTTTTGTCTCTTTCTTTATACATAACAAAGCATAAATATTTTCATAAATATATTTGGAATGTACGTATGTATGATAAATATTCTCTTATTAAGATCCTGTGCAATATAACAAGTGTGATTCATTTTTATATGCAAAATAATCATAGATACAACCTTTAATTTTTATATTTTTGTTTTTTTTTTTTCTTTTTGCATTTATGCATATTATAATCAAAAAGTTGTAAAAGCGTTTAAGAGAAGAACAAAAAAATGAAATAAAACAGTCGAAATGCGTCGGTATTGAACTTTTTTTCTTGCATTATTTGAATTTGTTCACCTTTTAACAAATTAAAAAAATCATTTTCGGATAAAATTTCACTAGCATAAAAAAACATTTCACTAGCATATAAAAATTCATTGATTATTTTAAAGAGGTTTTAAATAAATTTTTGTGTTCTAGATACTCGATGAGGTTGATTTAAAATTGCTTTTATGCAACTAATAAAATTAATATTAATTTTTCTGGTCTTAATATTTATGTCATAAGTTGCGATTTTAAACTAAAATTATTTCATTTATTAAATGTAGATTTAGGAAATGTTCAAATTTTCTTTTTTTTTGTTTTCAAATATTAAGTAAAATAAATGAAAAAAGTTCAAGGAACCAAGTTTTAAACAAAAATTATAATTATCGTAAAATTATGCAAAATTATAATGAAACACGAAAATTATTAATTTCAATAGATCGTTTTTATTATTTTTTTACATAGCTAGACCTAGAACTATCATTAAATAAAATAATATTTAGAAGTTTATATAGTTTTGATCTAGAGCTATATATTAACAAGCTCTTGACTTAAGTTATTAAAATGGAATTTCTTGTTAACAAACCGTGACCTCAATTTACTAATTAAATTAATTATTAAAATGAAAATTGCATATCTACTAAGTATATCCAGAAAAGCTATTCAAACCAATGGCATGAAAACAAAAGTCACTCAATTAAATTGCTTAATTGTTAAACAAGTTGTTGTATTAAATCATAATTTTAAATAGCAACTTTTTAAATAATATTGAATTTTTATTAAATTATCCAAGAATTTTTGAACAATTCTTGTTATTGAGCTGCATGTTATTCATAGAACCGATAGATATATAATTGAATCGATTGGTTCCAATTAGGAGAACATTCAATTAGGAATTGAGTAATTGCCTGCGACATACATTGTACAGCTAACATAAGTGTTATAGATCTTTACAATATGCAGATTTACAAAACTTTCAGTCTTATAATATAAGACAATAGATAAGGCAAAAAACAAAAATGATAAAAAAATATCTAATATAGAAAAATTATAATTCTATTAGGAAAATGTCTGTCAGAAAAGTAAAACTTTTTTTTAAATCCTTTTTTGTATCCTAAATGTTTAATAGTATTTAAGTATTTAAATTGAAATTCATAACACAACATACAAAAAGAAAAAAAGTTTAATTTTTTTCCCATATTTTTTTTGCGTTTTATTTCTCTAACATTTTTCTTCATATCGATTTTTTTTTCTTTATGTATATGTGTACATATGTATATAGTTAGAAAAAATTTATTTGTATTTATAAAATATTTTTAGGTACCTTTTGAATTTAAATTAATTTTATATTTTTTTTTTGTTTTTAAATAGTCGAATTCTATTTGAGGAATTTTCGAATTAAAATTTGTATAGATAAAGAAATTTTTTTGTTAAAAGGTGCAAAGAAAAACCATAGAAAAATCGGTTTTTAAATAAGATTAACCCGATTTCATTATGTCAAATTTGACACTTTAGGTCTAAAAAGTGTAAAACAAAAAATTATAGAAAAATATGTAAAAGAAAGGAAAAAAAAACAAAGCGAAAATCTGAATGACATACAACACTTATGATCCAGGTACGACCCTTTGATTTAGCGTGCTGTTCAACTTAATTCAAAAGTAATAAAATGTGCTAAAAATATAAAAAAAAAAAAAAACACAAAAAATACAAGATAAAGTTTTACTTTTTATGTAGGTTTTTAAAAAACAAAAAGCAAAACAAAAAATTAAACATAAAAAAAATTAAATGGAAAAATCTTTATCTATAAGGATAAAATTTTTTTTATGTATACATTTCATAATGTAGCGCAACAAAAAACAACAACAACAATCAACTAACCAAACATAAAAACATTTTTCTTTTCTTTCTAGTTTATTTTACTTGTTGTTGTTGTTGCGTTTTGGTTTTTTTTTTTTTATTTTTAATAATTCCATTTTATGAGATTTTCTTTTTTTTCTAATTCGAAATTTCTAATTTTCTTTTCTTTTTTCATATTCTCGTTACAGGTTTTATTACAAACCGATCGTGATAAATTAAAACTGGCAAATCCTGAGAAACGAAAAGCTGAAGAAAATGATTTATCCAAGGATTTGAAAAAGGTAAGTGCGATATTTTATACTTGTAAGTCGTATAAATATATTTATTAAGACATTCTGTTGGTTATTTTTTTCTCTTATTCTCTTTTTATGTTTACGTTTTTACTTTTTATATATGAGGCCGATATTTTTTCTTTCTGATTCTTTTTGTATTTTCGAAGAATTTTTCAATAAATAAAGGTGTCTTATGTATATGTATGCCTACCTGCCTGCCTGCCTAGATATTATATTTCAATGTGAAATGAAATCTTCGTGTCCTTCTGTGTACAAACATATCATAAGGTACTTACAAACGTATATAGGACCTGGTTCTTGTGTGAGTTATTAAAAATACTGTTTTTTATCATGAAAATTCTCAGAGTTTCTCTATACTATGTGTTTGTTTTTCTTATTTTTTTTTGGTTTATTTTATAAAAACGAAAAGAATTTGTTGTTTTGTAAAATTGGTTTGATTTAGTTGCCATTAATTTTGATTTGTTTTTTTTTTTTTTAATTTTTTTCTGTATTATATTTTGTTCCTTGAATTCTCATGTCCTTTTGTAGCTTAACTTTTTTTTTATAAATAAATAAATAAATAAATATTTTCAACCGTTGATCTTAAGAAAGAAAAGAACATAAATAAACGGGAAAAAATAAACGAAGAGATTTAAATTAATTAAAAAATTAACAATAATAAATTAATTTTTGATAATTTATTAAATTATTTGAAAATCCTTAATAATAAATCAGATGAAATGAAAAAGTGGGTATTTTATTATTTTCTATTTTTTTTTAAATTGAGGAAAATTAAATTTTAAGGTACTTTAACTTTTTCTCTTCCATTTTTTTTGCCAATTTTTTGAAGTTTAAAGTTCTTGTCTATCAATTTTGTTTATATTATTTTTTGGAATATTACTTTGGTTTATTTTTAAATAGGCTTAAGAATTCCCTTGAAATTTCCAATAATCCAATTTTATGTTTTATTATGTGAGTGTATTAATATATGTACGTGATATTGATTACAAGTTATTAAAATTTTTTATTTTAAATTTGTGTTCCATATACAAAGACTTTAAGCTCAAGTTTACAAATACTTGGTGTCTATAAAGACTTTGAATGAGTTTAAAAAGCTAATCCAATTATGTTACAATCAAATGGTTACTTGTATATTTGAATGAATACGTAAGACGTTGTCATAGTAACCCTTTTGAAATAAAATTTTGAAAAATTAATTTTAAAATTCAAACTATAGAATGTATATAAATTGAATTTCTAAGAAATATATAATAGGTGATGTGTATATGTATTTATACATGCATATTATGTATATTTGTGAAACCGGGGTAACAGCGCATCGCGGCCACGTATGAGGATCTATTGTGCCCCCCCCCGCCCTGATAGCGCGGGACATGGCCTACAACAAATACTAGAGATCCACCTTTCCGATGAACTCAAACAATTTGTGAGGCCCGGAGGGCCGTAACTCCGCCGTCGTTAGTGCAAAGCCCCCCCAGTATTCTTCTTCTACCAGAGCATCAGGACCAGAGCATCACATTCCTCCGGAAGGTGTACTATGGCCTCTCCATCCTCCCCACAGAATCTGCAAGTGTCTCCGCTTTCCAGGCTCAGCCTACTGAAGTGCCCTTAAGTCTGCAGTAATTCATTCCTTCATTTCCTTCTATACCCATATTGTCCGGCATTCAGCACAGGGTGACGCAGATGCACCTACCCAATTCATCGAGCTTCTCAAGACAGCTCCATACTGTCGCGTGCGATACCGAAAACAACAGTTAACATGCATATTATATGGATATTACTTATATCTTCAACATTTTGTTGTTTTAATTTGGCGGTACAAATATTTGTTTGACCCGACATATTGACACTCCCATAGCGTTATGCAATAAAAAAATCATTAAAAATAATAAATGAAAAGTAAAAACAAGAATGAACAAAAAAAACAAACAAAAAATAAAAAGTCAATGGCATTTAAAAAAAAATTAACAGTAGCGAATTTAGTGCAAATAATAAAGGATCATTCGTTAACAGCGGCGCTTTAAAAAAATTGTTTTCTCTTTTTTTGTTTTGTGCTTCGACAAATTTCCAAAACAAAAAATTTATGTCTACATACACACATACATTCAATTTACTTTTGTACATATATATATATATATATATATACAAATTTGTGTGTAAGGGGAAATGTGTGCATAAGTATATTTTTCATTTTCATTTTCCTTCATTATGAAGAGGGAAAATTATATATAATGAAAATTGAGAAGAGAAAAAATCTTCATTATTTTGTATAGAGGGAAAATCGTTCAAGAACACAAAAGATTAAAACAAAAGAAAAACAAATATAAACAGCAAAAAGAAACGAAAAAAAAAACAGTAAAGTTTTTCCATTTCCCGTTAACAATCAAAATTAAACTTTTTCGCTGCAAAAATAAAAAAAAAAAATTTTTTTTTGTTTCAAATTTTTTTTTTTTATTGAAGAAAATCATTAACCTTTTTACTAGAAAAAGACCTTTTCTGTTTCGAAAAACTAGAATGAAAATGAAAATTCTTCTTTATTAGTATTTGAGCAATTTGGTATAAGAAAAAAAAATTGCATAACAAAAATAGAAAAAAAAAATAAAAAGAAGAAAAAACACAAAAATGAAATAAAGAAAATTGCTACTTAACCACTTGGTAGTCTGTCTGTCACGCTGATTTTGACCTTTTTTTTATTTATATCAATATTTTCTATACAAGTGTCTGTAACAAAGTGAACGGATTACGATTAAAAGTAAGTTCTAATCAAAATTACTAAAATTTTTCTTTTCCTTTTGTTTTTCAACGTTTATTTATCAATTTAGTTTTCTCTTTTTACAGTTGTCTGGTTTTTGTCTTAAAAAAAAAAATTATTGTGGCTTTATAAGAGAAAAAATTGCAAATTTTGTTGTAAAATTACATTTTGATAATTATTGACTTGAAACTTAAAAATTTTTATCATATAATACGTGATCAATTAAAAATAATTCAAAAGGTCTTCTATTGTTACCCAGTTTCGATTAAGGAGTCCTTTTATTTTTCTTTTTTTATAAGAAATTAAATTTTCTCTAATTTATTTATTATTATATGCCAATAAATAATTAATTTTATAGATGTATTATATAAATAGATAAATGAATTTTTGATCCTTTTTGTTTTAAAAAGAAAAAGAAGGTTGTTATTTGAATCGTCAAAAAAATTATAAGTTTTGGCTTCAAAACGTGATTTCAAAAGTATTTATAGCAAATTGGTTTTAATTTAACTGAATTTTTTCCAAAATTTTCTAAATTTCAACTCTTAAATTAATTTAAGAAAAGTTCAAGTCTGGAACAAAAGTCAAATTGAGTGAAATTTTATGTTGGGCATCGTATATTATTTTTCAAAACTTTTTTTGAAAAATAGATGTTAAGTAAATTAATTTGTAGAATCTGATTTTTCTTTTTCAGTGATGCTCCATATTTTGTCTACCATCATATTTAACAATATAATATTAAAAACTGGTTTGTTACCAAGTTATAATTCTTATAATTATTGTTCTTATCGTTACTGCAAACCATTTACGTTTAACTGAAATTGTCAATTGTACAATTATGAATTTTAATTTTTAGGATTTTATGCATTTTTACAACATTTAAAAAAATCTGATGTAGTCAGCAAATAACCGACCGCAATATGCATTGTCTAGTTAAGTGAAAATGTTACAGAATATTATAAAAATGCCTGTTAAATACTTCTTCCCAATTTTTAAGGCATTAGTAAGCTTATAGTTAACATGCCTAGAAAAATGTAAATTTAACTCTTAGTAGAGTTTCGCTTTGTGCTACCCAAATTCCCTGAAATGCTCACCAGTTAGTTTCGGTAACAACCAGAACTCAAATATCAAATTTCAAGAAATTTCATCAGTTCGTTCCGTAGATATGGTAAAAAATCCAAAATCGGCCCCCAGATCAGTTACTGATCCCTGATCTTTCCAAAAATTTTATATGTTCGCAGTTTTAATACAAAGAATATTAAATTTCAATGAAATTGGTTGATTATTTCTCTTTATATACGCAAAAATGTATATTTGACCCGTAGTAAACGTCCAGTTGCTGATGTCTGAGTTTCCGAAGCCTGACATATCCCAAAAGTTGATCAATCCGTGGTATAGTCGAAATAAACTTACACATAAAATTTCATCAACATCGGTTTAGCCAAGCTTGTGATACACGCGTGCAAATACAGACACAAACCGACGACCGAGGGTGACAAAAATAGCTTACTTACACTTCCCTACAATGGAGAAGTGCATTCCCACCGAAAACTCGATATGCAAAATTTGTTGTCATCACATAACCTACCTATTGTATACACAATACGGTCGGTAATAAATTTAAAACAATTTAAATTTTTAAATTATCATATCATAATGTTATGCACCAATCATAATTGACCGAACATCATGGAGGAATTACCGTAGATCCTATCGTAAAATAGTTTTTTAATCATTTGTATTATAATAAATATTGTTAAGAATTTCTTTTACAACTCCATTCTAATATTAATATTATATATTTTTAATTTTTAGGCTAAATTGGAAACAAAAGCATTAAAGGCTAAAAGACCCGGTTTTACAGATGAACGTTATCATGAAACTTCATATTATATTGAAAATGGTAATTATTTCAAATTTTAACTAAAATTCAAAAGAAGATGGAAAAATAAAAGAAACACATAATCTAATTACTCAAGGCTAATGAGAGAATGTCGAAAGATTTTCTCTCAAAGTTTGTCTCTATTAATAGAAATTGCATATTTATAGGGAAAATTTCGGTTTAATTTAAATGTAAATTATGGAATTAATTTGAACTTAAAACATTTTTTTTTTTAAATCTCTAAAATAATAATTTTGATGTTTTTAGGCCAAACTTGATTTTTATATGAATTCAAATGTTTTATAAAACACTTTCATAAGTATGTACCATACTTATATTAATTTTGGGGTCTTTAAAGCAAGAAAGGAAAAATCTAAAATAACTTTTGAATTTAAAATAAAAGTTTTGAAATGCCAACAAAAAAAATGTATACTTGTTGTTTTTTTTCACATACAGTCGAACCCGCAACACTGACATTGTGCAATTTTATAGGTTACTTTAGGTTTTTTTTGTAAGCAGACAGGAATAAAATTTCAAATAAATTATTTTGCTTAGGTGAATTCAAGTATACATATAAATTTTTAAAGCTGTTGGAATCAAGCTGTTGTTTTTAAACATTTTGTTTTATTTTTAAATAAAATAAGAAACTTAAGTTATTTGGCCAAATTTTCTCTTTCGTTTATAAAGAAATTCGCAATGATTAATAAATTTTAGTTCGTTTCGCTTAAATACCAATTGTTGATATACGAGTTCGACTGTACATATTTCCTAAAGCGCTTCTGATATTCTATTCATATATTTTCGTGCTTGTCCATCAATTGACTATGAATTTTAGTAACTACATTTAAAATAGCTAGAAAAAAATCATAAAAAAATTTTTATAACAAAACTTTTTGTTTTTCGTTAAAAAAAAGGATATTTTAGAGTTCATGTTTTAAAGATTAACACATTATATAAATATATTGCAGCAACTGAGTTGTTATTATAATTGTTTTATTTTTGTTTTTTTCTCCCTCATATTTATGTTGTTGTATTTGGGATGGCTTACACATCTACACATATTTACATAAAAATTTATGTGTATATAGGTCTTCGAAAAGTTTATCCATATTATTTTACATTTACAACATTTACAAAAGGTCGATGGGTTGGAGAAAAAATTTTAGATGTTTTTGCAAGAGAATTTCGAGCACATCCAGCGGAAGAATATGAAAGATGTATTAAAGCTGGAACATTAACTGTTAATTATGAAAAAGTGCCAACTGATTACAGACTTAAACATAATGATCTATTAGCGAATGTTGTGCACAGGTGAGTGTTTTAATTTTTTTCTTACGTTTTATTAAATGATTTTTTCTTTTATTATTAATTTACTTTTAATAAAAAAATTTTTTTTTTCGAATAGGATCTAATATAATTTTTTTTTAGTAATGAGTTTTCGTTTAGAAAATTCTTTAATTTTGTATTAGGTAAAAGAGAAACAACTTTAGTTAATATTCACTATACATAGTTAATTTAAATTTCTCTTATACACTGTGTACATTCATATTTTTGAAAATAAGCATTTAAGATGTATATAGATTAATATAATTAACATCCATTTATAGAAGTTTGTGCCAAATGGTCAATTATATGAAAATATTGACGTTTGTCTAAATATGATTTTTACTTATATAACAAGTAGTAAATGTACTTGTCGGTCCATAAAAGAAATTGTACATATATTTATGAAAATTTTATAACATTAGCTATAAGGATTTCTTTTGAGCAGAGTAAAATTTGCTAGAAAAATTTCTTGTTTGTTATAATATATGCGAAATATTATAAATTAACAAGTAAATTGAAGTAAATGTAGATGTTATTCTAGAAATTTAAGAGAATATTATTCCAAAATTTATAAAGAAATGTAGTGGGCAACTGCAAGGCACGCGATATGCTGAAGTTTAAGTGATTTCAGATAATAAAAAAATACTTTGGAAGATATTTCGCTAAAAAACATCTTATGTACGAGTAGATTCTTTGTTACCTCATAATCAAATTGAACTGTCGTAATTGGAGTTCATTCAGTACTTTTTCCAACCATTACTAAATTCTTTTTACATAAAACTTCGACATCAATTTATTTGAAGCCGTATTCGGACATGGAAAAAAATTTCTATTGAAATTTGTAAAAACTCAATTACCATACATTAAATGTATACTCATGAGTTAATAACGATGAAAAAGCAGTGCACCTATTTTAATTGAGACGTAAAATCGAAATACAATTATTTGTTTTCAAAGTTTGTGATTTTATTCTCTACCTAAAATAGCCAATAATTACATTTAACTATTAAGTTAATACTTTTAAGTATAATCGGTGTTCGGGTAAGAATTAGCAATTGTCTTTTTTATTATTTATTTTAAGATTTACTATTCAATTGTACCATAACAACATTCCAGAAAATATACTTAAAAATTTAGGTTTTCATTGATTTAGTCATTTTAGGCAACTTATCGTCATTTTAATATATCCAATTTTCTTATGTTATAACACCGGCCCGAGCACTGATATATTTGTACGAATTTGTGCGTATTTATATAAATAATTAAATATATTATTAAGTCTAACCCTTCCTCTTCAATTAAACTCTCAATCATATAAATTAACAAATGAAATTTTCAAAGTAATAACTTCTATTTTAAAATGTAAATTTAAACAACATCTATTATGTGCATATTAAATGTTTTCAATGAGGCTAAATTTTCTGGAGGCATTGAATATAAATAGAGGCTTTTTTGTATTAAATTTTTAATTGAGAGAAAATACAGAGAAACAAAAAAAAAAAACACAAATATAAAACAACTTTAAGTTAATATGTATGTAAACTTTCAAATATATACATACATAAAAAAGACTAAAACAAAAAACAGACAAGTCAAAAAAGAAAAACTAAAATTTTATTTTTCATACTTCCTTTTCAAATTTTTTACAAAAAAACTTAGTATATAGTAAAAAATATCGTGTAGTTGAATGTATATTTGAATTCATACTTTATTATATAAAATAGTTACCTATATTTTAACATCATCAGTTTGAAAATTGAAATATACTTTAGTTTTTATTTACAATTTAACGTACAAAAATTACTGTACATATTTCAGTTTTTTGATTAGTAGACAACAACAAAAAAAAAAATGGACGAAATCAAAAATGAAAATAATTTTTTTTTTGTTTGCTAACTTTATTTTCATTATTACAAAAATTTATAGCATCAGAGTTTTTTTAAAGCTCTATAAAAAAAAAACAAGAAACAATTTATGTAAAAAAAAAAAATTTATGTCCTTTAAAAATTTAAAATTCATATTTTTTTTTTATTTTTGAAGATTCTTTAATTTTTTTTATAAAAAAATTATTTTGAACCTTTGAAATTAATTTTTTTGTATATTTTGTCCCTGAAAGTTTTATAAGTTTTGCAGAATTTTTACTTTTACCACACCAAAAACAGAAAACCCAAATCATAATTATTTACAGTAATAAATAAATAAATTTAAATTATTTAAAATAAATAAAATATTTATTTGAAATATCTTTGACATCCAATTTTTAGAAATAAAAGCCAATTTAGAAATGTAAGTTAATATTCAAAATATTTGTACATTCATATTTTTATTTAAGGCTCTAAAGCTCCTAAATATTAAATTTGAAAATTATGTCCAAAATTTTTTTTAAAAAAACTGTTGCAATTTTGGATATCAGGGAATATTTCTGTGGCAATAAAGAAAAATTATCTATATTATACTTCCAAACAATAGCAGTTTCGACTAAATGCACTTAAAAACGGATTTCGAAAATATTTGAAAAGTCGTGTATTATTAAGAGTTTGTAGAACTTAAATCAACCATTTTTATTTGATTATTTAATTTTCTCCTTTGTTTTAAAAATTTGTTATCAGTCTTTTTTAACATTTTTTTAAATTTAACTAGATTTTTTTAGAAATAACATTTCCTTACAAAAATTGACTTCAATTGGATCAATTTGATTTGATTCCGGATTCGCTCAAATTTTATTTCATTATAAATTTGAATATATGTTGTCGATTTTATTAAGTAGACATTTTATTGCTTTTCCTTATTGCCATCGATTTACTAAAAAAATATTTTAAAATAATTTATTTCATTTAATTCCAAAATATTAAAATTATAATAATTATTCTAATTTAATTCTATTAAATTGAAAATGTCTGAATAAATATACGAGTAGGTGCTTTATAATTAATAGAAATTTTTGAATTTTTTTGTGGTCTTCATTATTGCTATACTCTTTTTTTTTTTAGATAAAATAATATTTATTGTGTAGCATATTTATTTTTAGTTACATAATATATATTTTATAAATATTTTTGTGTTTTGTTGAATTTTTGTAAAATGTTGAATTTTCAAAAATTTATTTATTTGCGTCTATATTTTTTATATTCTTTTTTCTTTTTATTATTTCTTTTTTTGGCAATTATCAGTTATTTTTAATCAAACAAGCAAAAACAATACCACAGACGACACTTTTATCAAATAACAAAATAATTTATGTTATGGTTTTTTTATATTATGTCACAAAATTTGTCCGATATGCCAAACGATCAATTTGTGCAATAAAATATTTTGCTAAAATGTATTTCATATATCAAATTATCTACGTGAGCATGTCCATACATATATTCAATATGTAGATAGTTGTAATTTAATTTATATACCTATATTACATTATTCTAATGTAACTTAAATAATTGATATTAATTTTATTGCAGATATATTAAATAAAATTCCACACTTAAAATACTATTATATTCAATCTAATAAATTATGTTTATTAGTTATAAACAAGTTTTAATCATCACTCTTTATAATAAACTACATAATAATATTATGTGTAATTCATTATACTTAATACTGTTACTTTGCCGTTATTGTTATTTTGCTCGTAATATGGTGTCTTTATAATTATTATATTGGAAATGGTAGCACGTAATTACAAGTATGTTACAATAAATTATATATTATGATGTGACTTATAAGCCCGTATTATATACAATCAGTGTACACATTTACGAATATGTTATTCTTCCTTAAAATTATATCCTGCTTAATTAAATAAATACAATATAATACTTGGATAATATTTTAATATGCTTAATGAATAATGACAATATGTGCTATGAAATGATAATAAAATCATGAATATGAAATAATAATGCACATATATATAGTTCTGTATTTACGAATATAAACGGAATTCTTTCGAGGTTCTTATTTTTTTTTTTTGATATATTGAAAAATTATAATAAACCTTTACAAGTTTACGAGTATAATATGTACATTGATTAATTTATTATACTTATACATTATGTAGTTAGTTGAGTTCGCGTTATCACTTAAAGTGAATTATTTAAAAAAAGACGAATAATTTAATTTTAATTGATTCAGCGTAATTAATTTTGCATATTATAAGATTTAAATTTTTTAATGATTTGCGTTTGAAATTTGGGTACCTAAGTAAATTGAATGTGTTTTTAATTTGCTTTATATTAAAATTAAGGTTAAAACAGCATTTCAAATCTATATTTCTATTAATTATGGTTCTCCAAAGTATTGAAAATGTAAATTAAAATTAAATATGTTCAAACTAATTCAATTAATAAATTTATGGGTAATGCTATAAGCAGATTTTATAATTTATTTCTCTAATTTCAAAAACTTATTAGCAAACAAGAGATTTTCGAATGAACTCTTCAAGTTTATCAATGTATATTTCAATTTATTATAATTCAATTTCCACTCTAATAAAATGTTTTCAAAAATTATGTGCTGCACTATTGTTGCATTTGAACTGAATCACCGATTTTATTATTATTTACAGAATTCAAGACTTAAATTCTTAAAGGGAAACTATGTGTTTCATCGTCTGTTTAATTTTTGTGCTTCCATCAATATTTCAAAAATTAAGTGGTATTGTTTTTGGCCCATTTATCTAAATACAAATATATTTTTTAATCCCACTTTAATTGATCAAAGAATATGATTTTTAAAAAAAATTATAATAATTTCTTTGGGGTTAAAATGCTTTTACAAATTTTTAATTAATTTCTCTTTTTTTAGTAATTTTAATAATATTTTATTTTTTTTACTCTTTCCTATACTATTCTCATTTTATTTATTTTTATTTTTAACTATAACTAATTTCAGTGATAATAAACAAAAAAAAATCTTTTTTAATATTTCATTGAATTTGTATAGCCACTTTTCAAAAAGGATATAATAAAGGATATTTCTATCATAATAAAATGTGAAAGAAAATTGGAAAAAGAAAAAATTAAATTATGCTAAAAAAACATTTAAAAAGTAATCTTTGTTAATTTTTTATTTTTATTGTTGTTTTTATTTTTCTCTCTCTGTTTCTGTTTCTGTTTTTTTTTTGTTTATTTAAAATCATATTTGTGTATATTTTTCCAGACATGAAGTACCAGTCACTAGTCAACCAATCACAATAGTGCATATGGATGATGATATTGTGGTTGTTAATAAACCAGCATCAATTCCAGTAAGTGGCTTAAATGACCGCCATTTTTTAATTTTTTTTTTATATTTATATAAATATTATATGTAAAAATTAATTTTTTTGATTATGAAAAGCAAAAAAAAAGAAGCATTATTGGATATTTTTTTTTAATATTTTTTATTTGTTGTTTTTAACATTAATCGTTATGTTTTTGAGAAGCAAAAACAAAAAAAAAAACAAAATACTATATAAAAAATAATCTGGAAATATTTAAAAAATTAAAAAATCAAATAAAAAGAAAAATTGGACATTTTTGAAATACGAAAAAAAGGATAAAATGCGTTTATTTCACATAATATTGTTGTACTAACAAACAAAGCAAACGAAAAACAACCAGAACAAAAAATATTTTTATTTAAAATATTTTTCAATAAAAAAAAATCATACATTTTAATTAATGATCATAAAATGACAAACCCTTTTGAAAAATCGTTAATATTTTTTTTTTATTGTTAATAATCGTTCAGAACCGATTCTTATTGATTTTTACAAAACAAAAACTAAATTTAATATTAATAATTAAATTTCATATATAATAATTTAATAATTTTTTCTTAATTTATTTATTTAATCAAAAAGAAAAATATAGTTGATTCGTTTTTTTATTTATCGCTCATATATAAATTTACTTGTATTAAATATAATTAAGAAGTAGTTGATAAATTAAAATGTAATTAAATTTAATCGTAAATATTTTCAATTTAAAATTATTCATTTTTGACCCAAGAGCACCTAAATTAATATATATATGTATTTGCAATAATATTGTACTTCTTAATTTATTTAAAATTGTTTTTGTGTAAAATTTGCGTTTAAAAATAACCAAAAAATAAACTACATTGCTTTGTACATAAATATATACAAGATATTCAGAAATCAACAGATTTTAACTGAATGAAATATTTTAATTTTTTATAGTGAAACTAAAAAAAATCTAATTAAATACTTTATAATGTTTAATGCTTTTAAATTAAATTTTAAATTCAAAATTTTTTACTGATAGAAAAACCTTATTTAATTTAATCAAATATTGAGAAGTTTAAAATATTTAATTTTCTTCTTTTATGAAATTAATTTAAAAGATTAAGATTTTTATATTTAAGTTTCTTATTCTATAGGCATTGCACATAAATTCGAAAACTTGCCCAGGATTTTCTCTCCTAAAAAATTAATTTCTTTATATCGAATTAAAATGAAACAGAATAAAAAAAAAATAGGTAAACTATATATATGTATTACAAATTAAATTATAAAAAAATTGAAAAAAGTTAATCTCGCTCAATGCTATTCCCTATATGGGAAATAAATTTGATTTTCGAGCTAAGTTTTCCAGGTACTACTCCTACTGAAAAGTATTTATGTATATGGACATATTCTATATATTAATAAGCTATTCAAGTAATTATAGATAATCAATAGGATATTCTCTTTAGATGGCGTTATCAAAACCAACAGTAAATTGGTAAAAAAACATTTTAAATTATGTTCTAAGTTGCGGTGAAAAAAGTACGCTACAAAATAATAAATAAAACTGAAAAAAAAGTAATTCGTTTGATTACCATTTACATATGTCTACAAGTAACTCATGTTCATATTTGTTTATATGCATGTAGCATTTATAGCAAATTTATTGTAATATTTAACTATAAAGGAAGAAACTGCAATTGTTAATTTTGTCTGAATTTAAATATTTTGCCTTCATTAAGCCAAGTGTTGCGATTGCATAAATTATGCCAGTTTTTTTTACAAAAAATTCTTAAATAATTAGACGCGAAGCATGCATGCTGTGGTCTATATTATGATATCGCTAGGTATTAGAAATGTGCTGAGATACGGTAAATATTTTCTTAATTTCAAAATGTTTTAACTTTTCTAAATTCATTTTGCAAGAAAGGTTAATAATATATAGACAAAGCGACGTCGCCGAACTTTGTGCGACTTTAACAAAATTATTGTTTAGTGGCAAAATGGAAAGCATGTATGTAATCTAAACGAATATCGGGAAAGTTTAACGTTCGAGACCATTGTCCTATTTATGTTTTCTAATGAATGGCTTTTATGAATGATAATTATTATTTAATCTTTAAGGAATTTAAAAATTATTTTAAACCATTTGAAAATATGCACACATCCACATATTTTAAAAATTCAGTTCAACTACAAGTATCACATTTACGAATGCACTGGATTATATTTTGTAATATCCATTAAAATTTGAAAATAATAATTTCATTCATTTTATAATAAAATTGTGAAATATCACAATATGAACATTTCACACTTAATTTTTCAATTTGATAAAAAAACGGGGACTATATTTGCACACCAACAATGAAAATTATACAAAAAATAATCATTTCCATATTTTCATTACTCCGCACTTTTTTGTTATTTCATTAAAAAAAAAATCTGATGTGGTCAGCACATAACCGACCGCATTGTGTATTGTCTAGTTAAATGAAAGTGTTACAGAATATTATAAAAATGTCTGTTAAATACTTCTTTCCAATTTTTAGGACATTAGTAAGCTTATAGTTAACATACTTAGAAAAATGTAAATTTGGCTCTTAGTAGAGTTTCGCTTTGTGCTACCCGAATTCCCTGGAATGCTCGCCAGTTAGTTTCGGTAACAACCAGAACTCAAATATCAAATTTCAAGAAATTCCATCAATTTGTTCTGTGGATATGGTGAAAAATGTGAAATCGGCCCGCAAATCAGTTCTCGAGCCCTGATCTTTCCAAAAAAGTTATATGTTCATTGCTTTAATATGAGGAATTCATATATTAAATTTCAATGAAATCGGTTGATTATTTCTCTTTATATACACAAAAGTGTATGTTTGGCCCGTAGTAAACGTCTAGTTGCCGATGCCTGATCTTTCCAAAAAATTTACATGTTCATTGTTTTAATACGGGGAATTCATATATTAAATTTCAATGAAATCGGTTGATTATTTCTCTTTATATACACAAAAGTGTATGTTTGGCCCGTAGTAAACGTCTAGTTGCCGATGCCTGATCTTTCCAAAAAATTTACATGTTCATTGTTTTAATACGGGGAATTCATATATTAAATTTCAATGAAATCGGTTGATTATTTCTCTTTATATACACAAAAATGTATATTTGGCCCGTAGTAAACGCCCAGTTGTTGATGCCTGATTTCTTCCAAAAGTTAGGAATTTTTGCATATGATCGACCAAAGCTTATATATGAAATTTCAAGTAAATCGGTTGAATACTTTCTTCAAAATGGTGAAAAATGTAAAATCGGCCCGCAAATCCGTTTTCGAGCCCTGACCTTTCCAAAAAATTTATATGTTCATTGTTTTAATACGAGGAATTCAAAAATTAAATTTCAATGAAATCGGTTAATTATTTCTCTTTATATACACAAAAATGTATATTTGGCCCGTAGTAAACGTCTAGTTGCCGATGCCTGATTTCTTCCAAAACATAGCAATTTTCGCGGACGATCGAGCAAAGCTTATATATGAAATTTCAAGTAAATCGGTTGAATACTTTTTTCAAAATGTTCAAAAATGTAAAACAGGCCCGCTAAAAAGTGCAGTTCCCGAGGCCTGATATATACCAAAAGTTGATCGATCCGTGCCCTGGTGGAAATAAACTTACATATAAAATTTCATTAAAATCGGTTCAGCCGAACTTGAGATACACGCGTGCACACACAGACCGACAGACCGACAGACCGACAGGTTGCTAAAATAGTTTATTTACACTTCCCTACTATGGAGAAGTACGTTCCCACCGAAAACTCGATATGCAAAATTTGTTGCCATCACATAACCTACCTATTGTTTACACAATACGGTCGGTAATAAGTAAAATCAATTAATTTGGGATGAAAATAATAATTTATTATTGAATTTATTTGAAAAAATGCCTAAAGCAATTTAAATTTACAATTACCAAATTATACAGCACTACAAAGTAAAAGCAAAACATCAGTAAAATAGAAAAATTATTAGGAAAAACTCGAAAATTTTTTAAATATTTTTTGTAGAAAATCGAATTTATTTTGTGTTGGCATTTCATATTGTTTTTATATTTAAATTGTTTTTAAAATAATTTTATACATACATATAAATGTACATAATTTTGAAAATAAATGAATGTGTACTTTTTCTTGGCAAATTTTCCCAAAAAAAAATATAATTGAATAAAATGAAAATTTTGAAAAATTTTGTTCGGATTTTAAGTGATGCATGAAATACTGTAATGCGTTGCAGTATGTACACCTATAAACATTATGTGTCGTATATACAATGCATTTAGAAATCTCATTCATGCTTATAAATTAAAGAATATTTTACATTTTCAATTAAATATTGATAGTGGGTGAGATTTTTCAGTGATTCGTCAAAATTTTCCTTTTTCTAGTTAAACAGTAATATAAGGTTGTTCCATGTGATGTATACCAATATTTCTCTATTAATATTTAGCAAATCTCTTTTTGTTTTTATTTTAAAATTTTTTTCATACATCTTTGATGTGGGTTATATATACTTAGATATATTGATATAAATTCATAGTTATGACTTTTCATATATTTAGACAGCAAAGTCATTGCACTGGCGACTAGAGTTTATGTTTAACTTATGTCAACGTAATAAAATTTAAGCAGAAACTGAAGTTCCGGAAAATTGTTTTATAGTTGGATCATCAGATAAAATATATAAACCTAAAATATAAGACTTATAAAAATTTCTTTTAAAAAATCTCGACATAAAATCAAGTTGATTTCAATTACATTGCAAGATTCTCTTAATTTTATTAATATTATCATCTGGTTTTTACTGAATTTTTTAAAATTCTTATTTCAGTAAGTACATGAAACACCCACACAAAAAAGGAATTATTCCGTATTATACTCGTGTAGCTAAATTTGTTGTTATATAATTTTTAATAAGTAAATTTAAACAACAATAAAACAAAACACTAATGTCGTCATTTCACTAATAA